GCCCGCCAGGACTTTTTCGACGCGGCCTTTCTGGCGACAATGACTGTCCTCAGATCAGTCCTGCCCTGAGAAGGCCGCGCCGGAGAGCGCCCCGCCTCGTCCCTCCAGTTTCTCTGCAGGGGGGCACGAGACGTGACACTCCGCTTCTGCTGTGCTCTTTTGGAAGACGAACTCGACGAAAGATTTTGCTCTGGTTGAACATTCTGCGTGACAGACACAGTGCCCTGTAACGGCGCACCAGCAGGGAACGACTGGTCTGAACACACTAGAACCCTCCTTAGAGGCGGCGAGCGTCCCTCGGGAAAGCACTCGCCAGACCCTTCTACGCCCTGTTTCGGCAGGGTTAGTAGGACGGGCCCCTGAGGGCGCCGGGAGAGACAGGGCACCCTTAAGGGAGGTGAACGCAAGTCTCTCTCGGCGGGGACCCCCCTCAGATTCTCCTTTGAGCAGGTCGGCCTGAAAAGCCTGCATAAAAGCCATCGTTTGCAAACATGCAGCCGCCTGCCCAGCCACCGAGTAAGCCTTCCCCACCAGCACAGAGGTTTTTTTTTTTTTTTGGTGGAAGAGCCGGTGCTTTAAGTGAAGACGATGAAGCAGGAGAGAGATAGCTCGCGAGCGTCTCCTCCGCCTACAGCATCGTCACAGAACCAGCAGATTTAGCACCAACAATGTTACCATAAGCATTGGACTGATTTGTGTAAATTCTGCTTGAAACCGGTCTAACCCAGGTCTTTGAAACCTCAGCATGAAGATCTGGGAAGAACGGTAAGCACCGGCGAGAAGGTTGAGGTCGTGCAGACAGAAATCTATCATCTAGTTTGCTTTTAATTCTAGAATCCTGTCTATCAGCTGGCCACTCGGTACTGTTTTTTTGTTCTTTTTGTTTTTTTTAGCTTTTCAACAGCCCGAGATAACACATTCATCAAACCTTCTTCATTTGCAGTATAATGTGATAAACTAGTTTCCTCTGATGCAAAACTTTCGACATCCAGCTCCTCAGAACTGGATAATCTCAATTCAACATCATCATGTGCCTCCACCCGGGCAGAAGTAACCACCGCAGCGCGTGCTTCCAGAGCCGGGTGAGAGGCACTAGATCTCGGCGGAGATAGCTGAGATAGGGCGGAGCCCGTCTCAACGTCGCCAGTGAGATCCATCTGCGAGCCCCAAGACAAGCGCCACCGCTCTGCCTCAACAGAAGCGGGACCCGAGCCACTCTCCTCGAAGAGCGATCGCCGCGAGCGCAGAGTTCTCAAGGGAAAACGCTCGCAATGCTGACAATCGACTCCCTCGAGAGCCGACTGGGCATGCTGAACTGCCAAACAAGCCACACATAGCTCGTGTGAATCCCCACCCGTGATATATCGAGTACAGGGGGGAACACACTTCTTATACTGCTCGCTCATATTGTTTTTTTTATATAAAATATATAGTGATAAACTCCTGACAAAACAGACAAACACAATCGACAGATTCAGACACACACAGAGCTGCTGAAGTAACTAAAAGCTGGCGTATTGTGTGCTCAGGGGATATTTATAGCTTCCTGGTCGATGACGTCACTCGCCGTACGCTCATTCTCTCCATTGACTGATTTCATTCATGCTTCAGACGCGTCACGCTGAGGGCGTTCCCACTGCGATTACACGCAGCGGTAGTCCCTGAAGGGGAACTACAACATACATAAGACATGTCATGAAATGAATACAAAAGACTGTTCCAGGATAACAAAAAGTAGGTGCTTTAGGATGTAACTTTTATTTTATGTACTAGATCTACTGTTTAACGTCACTCATCCCACTACTATCATATTGTTTATAATACACATTTCCAGACACATTCAGTACAGTAATGTTACTTCCTACGATCTTACTGTTACACTGAAATTGTTCATTCTAGTTCACTAACCGTTTTCGTTATCATATTATACATTCATCTATTTTGACATTGCTGATTGTGAAAGATACACGAATAGTTAGTGAAATGCCTTATGCTAGATAACACCACATGTCGGCTAAATGCAGTCAATGTAACGTTATCATGGTACGAGCATTAGTTCAAAGTCAAGCTGATAAAAGTAGCCTATTATTGTAACGTTGCAGTGGGAGTTTACATGAGTTTCCAGCATGTTGTGTGATGCTTTCTCTGGTGTGTTGAAAGTCTCAGTGTGGCCGGTACCATGAGTGCTGGGTCTTGTGTTCGGGCACGCGCAAGAGCACGAGCGCTCTTGTCAAAATTGGTTGCAATCTGAAACATCACCGATAAAGGCCACTAAAAAATACATATAGCACCTTTAATTTTCATTTCACAAAAACACTAAATTCAATTGCAATTCAATTGTCTCTTGTAAGCAATGTATGAAGACCAACAGTGAATTATCTAAAGATATTTAAATCCATAGTACAGATCATTTTACTGTCTATCTTATATGTACTGTTTATATTCAAATTCACCACAAGTTGTGTAAGTTTCGAGTGTCGATTTAATGATGTTATTTTGCCGTATATCTGGACGCATCAGGAACAACAGGGCCGTTTATCTTATCCAGGTCTGCAGCCTCCCCCGAATTCCCCGCTTGACACTTCACATTTGATGTATTTTCATTGAAGTAACCATGTTTCTTTTTAGTTCTACCAGAAAGACTCGGGAGAATAAATACTGTAACAATAAATACATTTATTGATAGCCCAGCAAGCAATAAAGTTCTTTGGCGTAGCTCGTCCATAGCTCGCAATCCGAGGGTCCGGACTCTGCATTTCCTGCCTGAAGACGAAGGCAGGGGCGCAGCCGACCCCCTGGGAGGTATAGGAAGGGACCATCCTGGTGGTGGTGGGGAGGATGGAGGGGAAGGGACCATCCTGGTGGTGGTGGGGAGGATGGAGTGGTGGGGAGGATGGAGGGGAAGGGACCATCCTGGTGGTGGTGGGAAGGATGGAGGTGAATGAAAGCGTCAGCATCTGCGAACTCAAACATGTGTAAGTACTGGTCTTTTATACCGCAAGTATTAGACACGATTGGATAGATGAGAAGGTAATAAGTGACGTAGCAATTGAGTCTTCCTGGCAGAACTTAACGCTAAAGCTTCCATTTTTGGTCCTGCGTAACACGAGAATAAACCTTGAACAACATTTTTTTTTTTTTTTTTATTGCTTGAAGAAACAAACCTAAAAACAAACAAAGCTTACTTAAATTCCAAGTCCAAATAGCAGTAAACACTGTAAATAGCTGAAACAACATAAACCTAAAGAAACGTAAAACAAAAAAGAAGGAAATAAATTAACATCATTAAATCTTTATGGAAAAGTAAGAATGTGGGAGGATTATTAAAGAATTAATGCATTTATGCATGAAGTAAATGGCTAACATCCCAATATTAACCAAAAATTCTGCATCATAAATGAAAGAAAAAGACAAATATTTTTTAGCTTTAAAATCAAAGTCAAGTATTACAAAACGCAACCAACCATAAAGATCATCCCAGAATTTTCATGTTTCAACGACTTTCAAAAAAGGTGCACTCATTACAATCCAGATTAAATCTGTCCGAGAAGTGGGAAAGTTAGAAATCTTGTTCTAATTTAAACCAATTTAACTTTAGGAAAATCAAAAACAAGAGGTCTCTTTCTAACTTTAGAAGGGAAAGTCTCTGTATTTACAAATGTTTACAAATCTCCTCCGTAAAAATTAAGACCAGAAATGATTAAATTGTCTTGGACCGGTGAATAACACAATGCACCTTTAACCAGCTGAACCAAACAATCAGGCACAGCTTTTAACAATAGTTTGCAGTTTCATCAGCAGAAGTCAGCTTCAACACACCAGGGTTTCGTAGGCCGCTCTGCATACATTCAGTTTTCCACCACAATTATACCTTACATTGACGCCATTGCTTCAAATTGAATGATTCTGATTGGCTAAGAAATAGATAAACAGAATTTTTCCACACATGGACTGATCTGCAGGAGCATCGACTATACGGCTGACACCAAAGCCCCTGGTTTAGGCACGAGTCCTTCCAGGTTGCTGAACTGCGTTTCTAGGCGCCAACTTGTCCGGAACAAGTCAGTCAATCTCCCCAGGGTCCACCTCACCAATACAGATCTGTAACAAAGAATTCTAGCACACACAGGATACACAGCTTCTTCAAGGTTGAAGTTGGTCGAGCTCTGCTCTAAACAGGAAACTTTCCTAAAACATCCTGATAACCAGGCCCGGATTAAGAATTTAGAGGCCCCTGGGCACAATGTCTTGTAGGGCCCCCCACCCCACCCATACAATCAAGCTTTTGAATTTTTGGTTACTATTTGCTGGTAACACCTCTAGCGAGCAACTGGGCATATGCAAGCACATACAGTAGTGCCTCACCTTTACCAATCCAGTTCTATGAATCAAATTCTTCCATAATTCCCGCTCTTTGTCTCGCTCCCCCTCTCCTCTTTCTGTGACGAAAAGGATGCAAACAGTATAGGTCAACTTGTCAAAAACCTGAAAGAATATGATATCTTAACTCAAGTTCCCTTTCGAGAACGGTCACTTCCTATTGCGTAGCTATACGCAGTGGGGAAACTCCTTTCCTCTAAATTCTGAAGCTTAATATGTAAAACATACATTTTGCAGCTGCACTGCTAGAACAGTGAGTGTCTGGCTCACTCATTGGCTGTGCTGCGGCAACTGCACATCCAATGGCGCGGGCGGCTCCAACGTGTGCGCCAATGAGCTATCATTACGTCATACACGTCAGAGCCCACCACAGGGGGCATGGCCATAGCCCAAAAAAACCCCCCGAAATAGCCATTATAGCAGATTTCATCTCCTTCAGCAACATACCTCACGCCTCTGAGTCCTCTGAAAGCTTTCGCCGTCGAATCCAGCCTATACAGTTAGAGTGTGCATCAGCACAGCGGGTTTTCGCCTTCGTCTGAGAAGCCGTCTTCCCCTGTCGCCTCTCTGCTGTCGCTATCCGACGACCTACGCTTATCCTTTGCTATCTTGCTTTTTAGGAAACGCGAGCGTTATTCCAAATGCCTCGCTCTTCATGCACCACATGCGGCTCTTCTGCACGAGGCCGACGGACATGCTAAGTGCATCGCGTGCCTGGGAGCCTCCCATTGCTGCTTCTGAGGAGGATTGGTCGGGCTCAGTTGACCTTGCCATCGCTTCTCAGTCGGGCGTGAGCGCCGCAGCTATTGGAACTAACTCTGACGCGGAGAGGCTCGAGTGGGCGTCGCCCGAGGAGCCTCCTTTCCGCAACGCTCTCCTCTGTAGACGTCGCAGCGGAGAAGGACTATGAGTCGTTGCTGCCCCTCGAAGAGGCTGTGGCCGCTCATCTCTGCCCGAACGGCGCTGCTAGTTGGAGCATTAAGGACGCTGACAGAACGGTCTTCCTCTACGCCCCTATCTCCAGTTCCGGCCTCTTCGGCCGGCGGTAAAGGGCATTTCGGAGAGATTCACCACCGGGCCGAAGAGGCCGGAGCATTAAGGACGCTGACAGAACGGTCTTCCTCTACGCCCCTATCTCCAGTTCCGGCCTCTTCGGCCCGGCGGTGAAGGGCTTTTCGGAGAGATTCACCGAGGCTCAGAAGTCGTCCCAGGCAATGTGACACTTCTTGCCTAAGCGCTCAAGCTTGGCCTCGAGCAGGCCCCAGTCCGCGCCCTCTCCTCTTCCAGTGAACTCTAATGGCGCTTTTCCACTGCTGGTACGGCTCGGTACAGCTCAGTACGGTTCGGATTTCGTGATGCACTGAATGTTCAGTCTGCGCTCTGGCGACAGTCGCACTGTCATAGACAGCGAGTTCAGTTCAGAACTGCAGCGAATAGCCTCTTTTTATAATGTTCAGCACCCATTCTGATACCCCGGGAAGCTTTTCCCACGCATTTGCATGAATAGCTAGGGGTAGAATGAGATCTGGGCTCTGGCTGCAACATAGTGGCGACCGGAGAGCTTCGGTGTGCTGTAACGTAAACGCTGTGCTTGCAGCGTTTGAGGCGGGGGGCGCGCCGATCACGGCGGGCAGCCTGGCCGCGCTCGACTCCCTTATGGCAGTTTCCTGAGAGAGAGCGAGCGGGGCAAACCCTGTGGGGCTTAACATGTCTGTGAGTGAATGTGGGCGCGGGACAGCGGGCACATTTACTGCACTAAAAACACCGTCGGGCTGAGCTGACTGTATGTGTGTTGGTTTCGTTTTTACAGAAACCGTGGGACATGCAGTGTGTAGTGTTTGTGGGCACTGGGTTGTGGGCACATTCACTACATTTAATGCACAATCGGCATGAGTCGATTTTATTTTTGCGAGCCCTGTACTGTGGTGGGCTGTGCTTGTGTGTAGGAATGAACACTGGGTCGTGGGCATTTTTATTACACTATTTTATAACACCATCGGCCATGGCCAGAAATACCAGAAAATACATTCTTTATGTGATTTATCTGGGTCGCCGTGAAATCTTTGACGGATGATCCAAAGAGGCCAGTTGGGGAGATGGGCGTGTCGAGGAACAACGTCAGCCATAGGTGTCTCTCAGCAACGGTGAGAGAAGCCATCCGCTGAACAGGCCCAATGGCCTCAAATCCGGCACGCTGATAGCTTCCAGTCCTTCCTCGTCCAGTTTTCGGAGAAGGTCGGCTTGGAAGATCTGCAGTACGGCTATCGAGTGTAATGCCGATACAGCCTGTCCAGCGGCGGTATAAGTGCGGCTGTGCATAGCGGAAGTAGTGCGGCAAGCTTTAGAATGTAGTGCTGTCTTAGCTCGCCTACAGCTGCTACAGCTTCTTCTACTGGAGGAAGAGAGTGTTATCCTCTGTCTTTAACACCGTCCACCACGGAGAATGCTGCTGAGACAGAGGTACGCGGTCCCTTTGCAGGAAACATCCATCCAGTCGGTTGTGCGCGGGCTGTGCAGGCGCCGCCCACTCAAGGCCGAGGCTCGCCACGGCCTGTGAGAGTAGAGGCATCAGCTCGGATTTGATGCTGGCCCGTTTCCCTGACGACTCGCGGGCAGGGGGGGAGGTCCATAGAGCTCGCCCAATCCTCACTGTCCGACGCCAGGATAGAGCAGCTGGGCTCCTCTACAGATGCAGCTATCTTGTCGTCATTAATGGCGGAAGCGGCGGCAGACAGCGGCCGTTGTCCGTCGGTGAGCGACTCGAGTGAAGTTGGTGAAGCTCGCAGGCGAACCGGCGAGATTTCACGGTCTAGAGAAGGCTCAGGGACCCGCTGAGTACGGCGCTTTTTACGGCGCGCCACTATAGCGGGCGGAAGTGCAGACTCGGAGAAACATGCCAAGCGAGTCCTCAGAGTCACCATGGCAACAGCTCGCAATGATGGCAGCCACCATCAGCGAGCGCGAGAGCTGCATGATCCTTACCCAGGCAGGAAACGCAGATGAAATGGCGGTCCCCGTCGCTGAGTGCGGCTCGGCACGAGCCACAGGAACGAGCCACAGGGGGCCTGGGGTTTAAGGCCACGCAATCCAGTTTGGTTCAGAAAACCCATTAACAATGAAAACAAATGTTTATTAATGCTGTAATATATCTGTCTCATAGCCTATAAGGCCTCTTAAACAAGGCTCTTGGACTCTGAGGGCTCCCTGGAACTTACTGTTGGGCCCTATGTGAATATGAATTAAGGCCCCAAAACCTCTTATAGAACTATTGTCACTCTTTGAGCTTATTTTTGTGTGTGAAAAGCATTGGAAAAATAACTATTTTGTTTATTTATTTATTATTACATTAAAACTGCCCATTAGATGGGTGATGGAAGGTGCCCAGGCAACAGCCAAAAAGGTACCCCACGGAGGCGTCGACGGAGGGAGGAGCCATGGAGAAGCAGTGAAGGCCGCCATGGAGATGACCGGAGGCGACGACGAGGATGAAGCCCACCGCGTAGTCGATGAGCCGAGGTAGTGAAGAGATGATGAAGACCCAGGTGACCGCGATGGAGCCGCAGCGAAGACCTCCTGAGAGCGAGGTGGGGATCCGGAGGTCTGAGGGCGAGCTGGAACGACCGAGGGCGGAGATGGAGCCTGAGGAAGGGCGGAGCAAACCGCAGCAGAAGGGGTGGAGAACCAGAGTGCAGCGGACGGTTCGCAAGTCCGCAGCGGAGGTGAAGCGACGTCTGACCTCGGTGGAATCGACGTGCCGAGAGAGTCCGGCAAGACCGAATGGCCGATGGTCCACGCCGAGGTCGAGGGTGGAAGGAGCGGAGGTTCGGGAGCCAGGGCAACAGGTCGAAGCAGATCGGAGCACACCGAGGCTTTAGACGGAGCTAAGGGCTCATCTTGCGCAGGAGAAGATGGCTCCCGACAGGTCCAAGGTGGTACCGATGGACTGGAGGGTGACAGAGATGACTGGGTGGTACAGATGGCTGGAGACTGGAGAAGAGACTTAAGTCCTATGCAGATACCCAAAAAGAACATAGAGTTCGAGATGTCTTGAAGAGGTGGTGGGAGAGGGAGGTTGGGCGGGGCTAACACGACAGGCAGATGAATGACAGGATCTAGCTTGACAGGCTTGGGTAACCGTACTGGACAATTCTCATCTCCAAAATCCAAAGGTTTCTTTGACAGAGACGCACTCTCAGTGGCTACTAGTGTAGTAACAGCCACAAAGACTGACACGAACACAGAAACAACGATGGGCTCCGGTACATACCGAGTCTCTGGTTGGGCAGGCGTGATGTTCATAGTCTCTGGCGCAGGATCAGCGGGCTCTGGCGCAGGATCAGCGGGCTCTGGCGCAGGATCAGCGGGCTCTGATCTCTGGCGCAGGATCAGGATGTACTCATTACATCATAAGAAGAATGGCATCTACGCTAATATTAGTGTCTTTGTTTATCCCGAGGTTTTCCCGCAGCCTGCCGGATCCAGGCCGTATCCAGATCTGACGAAGGAGATTCGCCTGGACCCGATGACAATGCAGTGCTGAAGTGTCAACTATCCTCTCCCTATGGAGGATCCCTTTCCCACTCTACAGATAAAGCATTGTGAATTTCGGTTTGCGTACCCCGAAGTGATAAAATAAAACAAAATTCTGTATCAATTTATAGGCAAGACAAGTAGTTTGTTTAGGCATGGGTTGTTTGGAATTACAAACTTGCGCACATATTTTCAAAAGCAGATACCTATAGAATCAATTCTGAATGTGCATGTGAACGCCGTCAGTGTTAATCACAGGTTCGCGTTTAAAGTCTGATCATTTCGACGGAGGTGAATCAATCAAAATTAACTTTAGCTGGAAATAATATTATTCAAGAACCGCTATAAAGCCAAAACAATCTCTGTTACCTTAAATTATATGTTTATCTCTGTAAAGCTGATTTGAAACAATCCATTGTTAAAAGCGCTATATAAATGAAGATGACTTGATCAGCAGGCTCTGGCGCGGGATCAGCGGGCTCTGGCTCGGGATTGGCTGGACGGAACCAGCGGTGCAGGCTTGGCTGGGCTGGATGGAACCAGCGGTGCAGGCTTGGCTGGACGGAACCAGCGGTGCAGGCTTGGCTGGACTGGACAGAACCAGTGGTGCAGGCATGGCTAGGCGGAACCAGCGGTGCAGGCTTGGCTGGACTGGACGTCACCAACCCAGGATCGAAGAGAGGCCAGAGTGGAGATTGGTGTCGGGACTCCTCTCGACCACCGCCTCTACTGCGGCCTCTACTGCGGCCTCCACAGGTCCCGCGAAATCTGGCCAGACGGGTTCCCTCAAACGAACGTCCATGGGCAAAAGCTGGGAGATTTTGGCTCTCCTCGGCCAGGACGACAATACTGACCCTATCGTCCATATTAGGGTGGTCTGGTCTTCTGTCAGGGCTCACAGAAGGAACAGACTGGATGGTAAGTTTATTTGTGCAGATGGATATTCAGTCAGAGATAACAGGTAAGGATCAAATGACTTTGAATCATTAAACAGGCTTAGCTGAATGGATAATGTCCTTTTCTCTCTTGCAGATGGGTAGGATGCAGTCACACCGAAGATGGAGGGATTCAGAAGGATCGGGAAGCTGGTAAGTAGCAGGTTGGTAGATGGAGAGTCTGTGAGTCATGTATCGACGAGACCAGACAGTGACTGCAGGGAGAGTGAGTGTTTTATAGTCCATGCTGGTGATGGGACACAGGTGACGGTGATCATGATGATCAGGATGATGAGGTGCAGGTGATGACAGGGAATGTTGGGAAGTGTAGTGAAGACACGGATGAGGGAGGTGAATGTGACAGCTACATGTTAATTTTTCTCAAGGAAAAATCTCTCACTAATGCTGTAAATATAGGCTACAGGGAGTTAGTATTATTATTAAA